GTAAATAATTCCGAAGGAAACATCCACTTCTGGGGTACACAGGAAGGTCAAGACGGCCACGACGCGATCGAAGAGCTAGCCAAGTTGCCCTGGTGTTCTGGAAAAATGGCAATGGCTGGAAACTCATGGCTCGCAATTTCTCAGTACTTTATTGCTGCTGAGCAACCCCCGCATTTAACGTGTATCGCGCCGCTGGAGGGCTTATCAGACCCCGTTCGCGAGGAAACTATACGTGGAGGAATTCCCAACACGGCGTTTTCCGAATCCATCGCTGCTCTCCTTCCAGGAAAGAATAAAGTGGAAGACTACGTTGCGATGTTGAGTACGGATGCTGGACTTGAGCACTACCTCCACGATAAGCGTGTGGATATGACCAAGATCAAGGTACCGGCCTATATCGGAGCAAGCTACTCATCGCCCATCCATGGCATCGGCTCCTTGCGAGCGTTCGAGGAGATTCCACATCAAAACAAATGGTGCGCCATGTCCTCCTCATTTCTCGTCTATATGCGTGTGTAGAGACGTGCTCATTGCAAACATCTAGGCTCACTCTCCACGCGTCGCAAGAATGGTACGATCTCTACAGTCAAACCCGTACCAACGATCTAGCCCGATTCTTCGATTTCCATCTCAAAGACGTTGCCAACGAATGGCCTCAGACAGCACCCGTGCGAATGGCACTGTTGAACTTTTCCAAGCCAGCATTATTGGATCAGGAATTCGCTGATCTACCCTGGCATCTTCCAGACGTCACAAGACAGAAATTGCATCTCAGCTCTCCTGACAAACTGACACACAACAAGCTGCAACAGCTGCAAGAAGAGGTATTATTAGAGTACCAAGCCGACTCATCAGACGAAATATCCTTCACCTATGCTTTCTTGACCAAAACTGTACTCATCGGTCCGTCCACTCTGGTCATCGATATCGCAGCACCCAGTCATGACGATCTAGACGTTCACACTCACATCTTCAAAGCAGATGCATCTGGAGCCTTTTTATCGCATCTCAACATGCCCGTCCCTCCCAGTAGCAGCAATAGCAGCAGCAGTCCAACCTCCACCGTCGAAACCATGACGCAAAACAGAATCTGGCGTTACCTTGGTCCCAACGGTATGCTACGCGCTTCCAAACGCCATGTCCACGGGGCACTTCGGGCAAGGACGTGGGAAACGCTTTCACATGAAGGCGAGGAAAAAGTAAAGCCAGGGGAGGTGGTCAGACTGCGTGTCCAGCTGTGGCCTACAGGCATTGTGTTTGAGGCTGGGGAACAGCTTGTTTTGAAGATTAGTGGAAGGGAAATGGGGTTGCGTGGTCTGCCTCAATCGCCGGAGCCAAGCAATATGAACAAGGGGAAACATGTCTTACATTTCGGTGGATCCTATGAGAATTATCTCGAGTTCTTCACGCTCTAGCGCGTACGATGATCAGACGTAGTCTTTATATGGTTTGACGTAGCGGACGCAATTTCCTTGCAAAGTTACTACGTCTACATCTACAAACATGAAGTGAACAGGCCAGTTTTGAACGTTTGTAATTGGATATATCTACAAGTTCAACGACAAGAAGCCTGTCTAATACAATGAACTAGTGCGCCAATAGTCCCTTTAATTTTTCCTCTTTAAAGAAACTATGATGCTTCAACCCCATTCCACTCCCCTTACCCCATGCATACACCCACTGCTCCCGAAAAACTCCTAATCCTAGTATGGGATGCCGTCGTATTCACCGTAACCCAGCGCCAAGTTCATGTTCTGCAGACACTGTGTAGCAGCGCCCTTGAGCAGATTATCAATAGTAGCATTGACAACGACGCGCTTGCCGGAGCTGTGGACGGCGAAACCACCAATCTCAACGCCGTGCTTGCCAGAGATGTTCTTGACAAGTGGGGACTCGCCCACGATCTTGACAAGCTTCTCGCCGGCGTAGCGGTCTTGGTAGATGTTGCGGATGTCGCGGGACGTCATTGTACGGTTGAGGGGGATGGAGATGGTGTGCTGGTGTCAGATGTTAGTAACGCAGTCATACCCGAAATTCAAATAAAACACTTCGGTTAGTGTATCTGGTTATACTTACGTGAATACCCTGGAACCAAACAGCAACATGAGGAATAAACGCAACCTCAGTACCTAGCTGCTTTGAGATTTCCTTCTCGTGGATATGATCCGTCAAACTGTACGGAATGAGGTTGTTCTCGAGGTTCTTCACATCGTTCTTTGGGCTAGGCTTCGTGCCTGCGCCAGAGTAACCCGAGACACCAAAGACAGTGGGCTGACCACCGATGAACTCAAGCAGAGGCGCAATGCCGAGTTGAGCAGCAGTGGCGTAACAACCCGGGTTTGCGATGCGTGTAGCGTCAGAAATCTTGGAGCGATCAATCAGCTCCGGTAGGCCGTAGGTCCACGTCTCGTCGAAACGGTAGTCAGCGCTCAGATCCACGATGACAGTGTCTTTGCCACTTTTGTTGATGGCATCAACAAAGGGCTTGCATACGCCATTGGGAAGGGCCATGACCCAGCAGTCGACTTCGCTGTTCTCGGCCATCTTCTCGACATCCTCGGCTGACAGGTTCTCGTAGGTGATTTGTCGCTTGGTGTAACCTTCGAGCTTCTTGCCATTGAGTTCACGTGATGACACATGGCGCAGATCCATGTTGGGGTGCTTGTTAAGCAGCTCAATAAGAGCCTGCCCTGTGTATCCTCGCGCACCAATCAACGCAACCTTGGCGGGGTAGTCCCTGTGCTTGTGCTTGATACCGTATGGCGGGTTGGGGTTAGTCGTGTCCATTGAGCGTGATGCTGTGGTAGCGAAGCCTCGTGTCGACGCAGGGATAGTCCTGTTCTGTCCAAGTTGAGGCCTAGCAGATTGACGGGCCATGGTCGCGTAGCCACGTGTTTGCTGACCCTGCTTCAAGCTGGCCACAAAGTCGGCCGCTCGTCTGAACTGAGCATCCAGGCTGTCCTTCAACATGCTGCGACCCTGCTTCTGGTAGTTCTCAAGCAGCCCGAAGATCTCCGAAGACTCAGCCGCGCCCCACCAGCAAAAGACTTCCTTCTCGCGACGGAGGAAACCGTCGGTCTTCTCCAGATGCCACTTGACGTAGTTTTGTGATTGGTCGTCTACGATCCAGTACATCTTGGGGTACTTTTGCTTCATGCGCTGGAAGACGAGATCGTTCAGATTGTTCAAGAAAGCATCCTTGGTCATGCTGAAATGCGAGAGCTGTGCAAACTCACCCTCTGCAGTGGGCGGGTATACGACGGCAACGACGCCCATGGAATCGTCGTGGAATACCTCGAATGGTCGGTTCTTCAGGTTTTGGATGTACTTGTTGACGGCGTCGCTGGCCTCAACAGCACGGCTATTCATGATGGCCTGTGACAAGGCAGATACGTCCAAGTCTTCAAATGTGCTGGTCTCCTTGACGCTGCCACCGTTCCGGATGAGGGTACCACTTCCGGTGTGGGTGAAGAGTTCCTTTCCAAGGTTCGAGGGGTGTGTGATGGCCACACTCGAGGTGCGCGGGAGGCCGTCGAGGAGCTTCTTGGCCTCTACAATCTTGAGCTTTGTGCCGTACCTCACCCAGGACTGCTTCATGTAGGTGTCGTACTCGCCCTCCAGGTTGATGTGGGGAATGAGCTTAGACTCGGCGTTGAACAGTCCTCCCTTCTCCGAAAGGTAGATGACCTTGAGAGGCTGGAACTCGCGGGCCAGAGCAGCGGCAGCTACGTCGGCGTTGATGTTGAGAATCTGACCGTCCAGTGTCTCGCCCATGGAGCACAGGATGGGCAGTTCCTTGTTCTCGAGGGCATCCATGATCTGCCTCTTGTTGACGTTTGTAATGTTGCCGACGTACTTCCACTTGTCCTTGTCCAGGTAGTCGGCCTGCAGGGCGCCAGCGGTGATGGGGCGGGCGGGCACGCCCCAGTCCCTCTTGAGCGTCATGACCAGGTCCATGTTTGCCTCGAGAAACAGCTTGCGTGCAATGCCCAGCGTCTTCTTGTCCGTGACGCGAATGCCGTCGATGAAGTCGGGCTCGACGCCCGAGTCGAGGAGCAGCTGGTTCATCTGGGGGCCGGCGCCGTGGACGATGATGGGGTACAGGCCGATGGCGTGGAGCTGCTGGAGGGCAAAGCATAGCTCCTCGAGATGGTCGGTGAGAATGGCGCCTCCGACCTTGACGACGGCGAACTGGTGCGGCGAGACGGAGCGGAATTGGCCTAGGTACTGGTCGACTTCGCGGCGGGAGCTGGAGCTGGCCAGCAGGTTGAGGAAGGCGGCGTAGATGGACGAGTTCCTGCCATCCTTGGACGTTGTGTACAGGCGGCTGCTCGGCGTCGTGGTAGCAACGAGGGCGCGGGAGAGGGCTCGAGGAGTCTGCGATGCGAGGGCGCGGTGCGAGGATCGCGCAGCAGCCACACGGCCGGCTCGTACAATGCTCTGCATGGTGACTCTGTCGCTCCCAAGAAGCAGTTGCTTGCTACTCGGGCCCTGGGCGACTTTGATCCAACGCGATTGAAACGGTGACTAAACTGTGGAGCCGAGGGGACCTTAAGAAAGATGCTTTGGTATGACGCCGAAGCAACAAAATTCGCTCCGCCGTTATCGCAGCTTCCCCAGATGACAGGGTACGGTACTGGAGTTATCCTAGCGCCACCACCGGCCATAGCCACTGCTGCTGCATGCAGAATAGCAAGCTGCAGATCAGACTTTTCAGTTCTCATTCATGCATGCCGTGCCTCGTACACGGTGCGCATTAGGCTTGCCCTCGACTCAAATTTTCAGTCATCCATCGCAAACGGGCCTTTCCGAGGTTAATCGTACCACTCCACCTTCAATACGGTGGACACTAGAGTGCAGTAGCACTCCATTAGTACCCACTCGACAAAGCATCTGATAAGACGATTCAAAAAAGAACTAATGCATTCACGTCAGGGCTAGTCAATCGAGGCATAAGGTGCAATTGCAATGAACTATAGACAGCAACCCACAGTGTATAACTCCGTTTGCTCGTCTGACGACCATGCTTGGAACTTGGGCTCTCGTGGTATATCGTAACAGGGGCGGAGCGTTCCATGCAAAAGGGCTTTCCGTGATTGCAGCACGACCGTCGGAATGCAAAAAAAGACTGGAATGCTCAAGACACATCCTACAGTGACCCATGTCGTTGATCGTAGTGCAGCTCGTAGCCATTCGTCCCCTTCCCCAATGGCTTGACAACCTCCCCCCATCCGCGCAATTATTAATGTGTATGATTCGTGGTATCTCGTGTGGGTGGTTTAGTTCTTTTGCGTGGCAACGACTGGTCCATGTTAGCAACACGAACAAGAGTACAAGCTGCTCGACAAACTCACCAGAAGGGACAATAATGACGATGAGCAGGATGATGATGCCAACAATCAGGCACATGCGCATCTTCATGTCCTTCCACCACATCTGCTTGCGCACGCGGTTGGCGCCCCTTCGGAAGCCTTGGGCGGATACGGCAAGGTTGTCCGTCTTGTCTTGTAGCGAGTCGAGGCGGGCTCCTCGCTCAGAGACCTTGTTGATGTTGTCCCGCATGATGCCAACGGTGCTGTCGATTTCCTAGTGCGAGTCAGTATATGAGGTCGCATGTCTTCGGCTGCTCAGAACTGCAACTTTGCGCAGCTACTGACGAGGCAGAGAGAGGTTGAGAAGCACTCTGGTCGTCTTCGCATCATCGAGGCAAGCTCTCCACCAGCCACCGCACCTCTAACGCGGCTGCCTGATGAAGATGCGAATGCGACAAACGACGTAGCGCTTCACTCTGACTTATAAAGAGTAACAACATACCGCTTGGAGCGCAGCTGTGCGGTGGTTGCCATTCTGGCCGCCCTGCTGTCCGCCAGCGCCGCCGCTGGGGATGTAGGGGTCATATGGGGGGTCCTGGCTCGACATAGTTGGAGATGAGATGTGCTGGATAATGCTCGTAGCGTGCGACTTGCGTAGGCTTCAAAGGGTGGTGGTGGTGATGGGCAGGTGTGGGTGGTGAGGGTGGTGTCTGGAGGATGGAGATGATGGTGTGGTTGCCCAGAGCAAGACCAAGAGTCCGCTCAGCCCGGATGGCGAACGAGCGTCGCAATGTGTCAGCTCCGTTTGAGCAGTGAGGCTGATGTTTGCGTGAAACCTGGCGCAACAACACGGAATATTAATCTGTGATTGGCATCAAGTCGCTGTGATTATTCTTCATCAAGCTCAATAGCAACGGTTGTGTATTAACGGCTGTGACGGCATTCTGTTCAACTTGATGCGACACTGCCGTAGCTGCTTTCGGCCCACAGCACGTGATCAACACCAGCCTCACGATTACGAATGTCTTTCCATGAAGCAGCAGGTGCTGCACGATCCGCCATCGGTCCGTCTGCACAGCGGCTCGAGTAGACAACAACACGCCTTCTACCACTTTCCTTGCCGTCGTCGTCGTCGTCGTTCAAAATGAACGTGGGACGCCTTTTTGCCTCAGCCTCGCTATTACGAGGCTAATCTTATTGTCTACCTTTCCGCAGCTGGCGTGGCAACACGACAATACGCCTGTTACGACATCAAGAGAGACGGTCCGGCTTTAAACAACATGTCCAGTGCACTAAAGGTAGCTTGCGCGCCTCCAGCAGAGCTTCGTCATCACCGTCATTGCCCGGCCGGACATCCGTATGCCTTGTTCTTCTTCTTGTTCGTTTTGCTCGCGCAACGAGCAGAGGTGGAGACCACGAGCAGAGGTGAAGAGCGTCTGCGTGGGCCGAGACACTTTATGCAACAGAAGAATCGTGCATTGTCGTCGATAGATTGTACCTGTCTCGCTAGCCTATCAATGACATCCCCCAGGTGTCAAGTAGGCCAGGCGCCGTTTGCACCTGGCAAGTGGGTCTGATCGCCGCCAAGACGCGTGTCCAATGTCTTGAATCTCGGGGTCTGCTACCCATTCGCCGCTCAGGAGTTCGCGCAACGCTTGCTCCACTGCCAGCTTCCTGTGTCTGTTTCCAGTTTCCAGTTTCCTTTCTCTTTCCAACACACTCGCTGAACCCGTTCTTAATCGCCATTCACCTCTAGTTTACCGCCGACCATTGTGCCCTGCGCCTACCCCTGAAACCCGTCACTCGTTCCATACTACGTCAATCAACCCGACACTCCCTACGGTACCCCCACGTTCGAGCCAAGACAATTCTCTTGCCTGAAAGCTTGATCACTCCAACACTACTCCCTTTCGCGACGCGCGCAGAGTGTATCCAAGCCTGGCGCTGGACCTTGGCTGCGACCGCCTAGAGCCGAGCCGACCTACTCTGTCTGCAACATGAAGTTCACCTCTGTCATCGGCGCTCTTGGCGCCTCGAATCTACTATTCACAAGCGTAGGCGCCGTTGAACTGGACATCAACTCGCCAGGTGGGACTTTCGAGTGCAAGACATAGGCGGAATACATGTATTGACATCTACAGACTCCATCAAGCAAGCCGCCAAGGCAATTTCTGCAAACCTGCGGTCGTACTATACCGGTGACAATGTAGGCGACACACCAGGCAACCTTCCAGACCCATACTACTGGTGGGAATGTGGCGCCATGTTTAATGCTCTCATTGACTATTGGTATTACACTGGAGATGATACGTACAACAAGATCAGTACACAGGCTCTAGAGGCTCAGATGGGACCAAACCAAGCTTTCATGCCTGACAATCAGACCAAGACGCTCGGAAACGATGACCAGGCTTTCTGGGGAATGGCCGCCATGGCCGCTGCAGAGAACAAGTTCCCCGATCTTCCCGACGGCAAGCCTTCTTGGCTGTCCCTTGCACAGGCCGTCTTCAACACCCAATACAAACGCTGGGACTTGACTACTTGCGGTGGAGGACTGAGATGGCAGATTTTCAGCTTCAACAACGGATACAACTACAAAAACACCATTTCCAACGGTTGCTTCTTCAACATCGCCTCGCGACTATACAAATACCTTGGTAACGACACATACGCCGACTGGGCTGAGAAGGCTTGGGACTGGGAGCTTGCCGTAGGACTCATGAGCCAGGACTACCACTACTACGACGGAACCGACGACACGCAGAATTGTTCCACCATTAATCACATCCAGTGGACATACAATGCTGGCATCCACATGGCCGGTGCTGCCGCCATGTGGAACGTGACACAAAACGACAAGTGGAAGACCAGAGTCCAGGGTATCATCGACGGAGTGAGCGTTTTCTTTGTAAACAAGGTCATGTCCGAAGTCGCCTGTGAAAACAACGGCAAGTGCGATGTGGACCAGCGCTCTTTCAAGGCTTACCTTGCACGTTCCATGGCATACACAGCTAGCGTTGCACCTTGGACCAGTGACCAAATCAATCCTTATCTTCAGACATCGGCTCAGGCTGCTGCTAAGCAGTGCACCGGAGGTGCTAACCAGACTTCGTGTGGGCTCAAGTGGACCACCAACGGTGTCAACGACGGCAGCTTTGGTGTTGGCGAACAGATGGCGGCTCTGGAGGTTGTACAATCGCTGCTGTATCCGTCAGTCAGCGGTCCTGCGACGGCGGAAAAGGGTGGTATCTCCAAGAGCAATCCTGACGCCGGTGACACTTCATCTGATACACCCATCAAGTTCGATACCGTCACCACTGGCGACAAGGCTGGTGCTAGTATCTTGACTATCTTGGTCCTGGTGTCTATTCTTGTTGGTGCCTGGTGGATGGTTTCATAAACTTTATACCCGTCTTCACTTATAAATTCTGTTGAGGGATTTGGCATTGTGCTCTGTCGATTTTCTGGTCGTTCTTGGTCAAGTTTCTTCAAGGCGTTTCCAGGTGTGCGCGCGTGTGTTAGATTATATAGCCCAATCCGAATAATTTACATTCAAGCTGAGCATGTGATTTCCAGCAGTGCTCTGTAGAGAAGCTTGGAAAGCAAACCCGAACCAGCCACGGTTCGGCTAATAGCACGCTAGGGGTCTGTGCGTACGAAAGCTGCGCTCGACTCCTCTTTCCTTCTTCGCCGCGACAGAGATCTCTCACCACTCGACGCACACACAACAACCGCGCATTCAACCCAACGACGGCTTGCTCGCCTTGTTGTCGCCCATCGAAACTCCTGTCCTAATTCATACTTGACACTAGCTAACCGGTCTTGCGCACCTGCGATGGCCGCCCCTCCTGATCTCAACGCCATTCTGGCAGCGCTTGGTATGTCGTGCAGACTTTTACCAGCATGACAAGCACTGTACTGACTTCTCTCCTAGCTGCCGGACGCCCGTCGACTACCCCCTCTCAGACGCCCCAGCAGCCTCCACAGGCGCAACATCCCCCTCCCCAAGGACTCCCGCCAGGCTTCCCCGGCGCAATGCCTACTGCCACTCCGCCCGCTATGCCCGGATACAACTTCCCCCCACCTACCCACACTGGCAGTCTTGATCTTAGCGCTATCAAGCCCGTGAGCTCTGGCTCAGTCAGCATCCAGGATGCGCTGGCAAAGGCACGCGGCTTTGCGGCCCAAAAGGGCCTTGCACACGAACAAGCGCGTCCAGGTATTGCTGAGCCTTGGTCTGGTTATGGTGTCCCAGCGCAAACTTACACAGCTCCAGCTTATCAAGAAGACCCGCGATTAAGCGGACGCCAGCCCTACCGACGTTCGCGGTCGCGTTCGCGATCTCCCGCGCGCCGCGAACCCGTGCGTGAAAGCTACAATCCATACCGCGATGAGCGCCGTGATGAACGTCGGGGTGCCTATGGACGTGAACGTGATCGCTCTCCTCCTAGGCGTGACACCTTCTCTCCTTCGCAGCAGTACGGGCAAGCGCGTTCGCCCCCTGCTAATGACAACTCTGAGGTGATTCTCATTGACTCTTCTTTGGTTGGCCTGGTCATAGGGCGTCAAGGTGAGAGTCTCCGCCGCATTGAACAAGAATCACAGACGCGCATTCAATTTATCAACGGCCCCGAGTCTGGACCTCAGCGCGAATGTCGTATCACCGGTAGCCCGGGTGCTCGTATCAGTGCTAAACGCGAGATCAACCGTATCATCGAAGAGAATGGCGGCAATCCCGCTCGTGAGACTGGCCGCAATGCACGAGCTGCGGCTACCAAGATGGTTGGTCAGCAACAGCCCGCCCTTAGAGAGGGTGAACAATCTTCGCAAATCATGGTGCCTGATCGTACTGTTGGTCTCATCATCGGTCGTGGTGGTGAGACTATCCGTGATCTACAAGAGCGCAGTGGCTGCCACGTCAACATTGTTGGTGAAAACAAGAGCGTGAATGGTCTGCGACCTGTGAACCTCATCGGAAGTCCTACTGCTGCTGCCCATGCCAAGGAACTCATCATGGAGATTGTCGACAGTGACACTAAGCAAATGGAAGGCGGCGGCGCCGCACAATCAGCGCCACAACAACAATTCAACAATAGGCGTGACAATTTCGATCCGTACGGTGGAGGTGCTGCTGGCGGTGCCGGAGCCGGCAAAATCAACGACAGTATTCAGGTTCCCTCTGATGCTGTTGGCATGATTATTGGCAAAGGTAACAACACTACTTCGGACATGCTGAGGTTGACATATTAACAATCCATAGGCGGTGAAACCATCAAATCAATGCAGTCTGATACTGGTTGCAAGATTAACGTGTCTCAAGCTTCCGGCGCTGACATTGAGCGCGAGATTGGCCTTGTCGGAACCCGTCAAGCCATTGAGGATGCTAAGCGAGCTATCTGGGAGAAGGTGGATCAAGTGGTAAGTTTGTTCGCTGTAGGCGATGATTGCAGGTTACTAATACGAGACAGCGAGAGAAGAACAATTCACGACGACGTGACAATGGAAACAACGACAACGGATACTCACATCAGCAGACACCTTCATATGGACAAACCGCCGCACCCGCACAGCAGCCTCAGGCGGCTGCACCTGCTGCTGCAGGTGCTGCTGGCGCTGCTGACCCATACGCTGTCTATGGCGGCTACCAGAACTACCTTGCAATGTGGTATGCGTCCATCGCACAGCAACAACAG